GAACTCCTGATTCTCCTGCTTCCGTCTCCCACATGCTGGGACTAGAGGGGTGCACTGCCATGCCTCGCTAGTTATCATAAATAATCCACCTCTTGTGCTCTCTGGATTGGCTGTGCAATCATAATACATAATCATAAATAGTATATACTCATGTATGATTACAAACCTATTAGCTTTACCATAACAGCTTGTCTCTTGACCTTCTTACATGAACAAGGTAATTAAATTAGGACACAGTGATACATTCTCAGTACTAAAAATCACTTTGGGGCCCTCAGTCACTGAGTTTAACAACTTATTTAACAGCTTATATGGTAGGTACCCTCTATGCCAGGAAAGGAAATGGGCATGAGACAGGTTTAGTGACTTGTCAGTGATGTCCCAGAGTTAGTAAGTGCTTCAACGAAGAATTAAATGCAGGTAGTCTCCAGAGCTGACATTCTTTTTTTTTTAACATTATTATTTTTATTTTATGTGTGTGAGTGTATTGTCTGCATGTGTGTAAGTGCATCTGTGTTGTGCAATGCCTGAGAAGGTCAGAAGGTGGCATTGGATCCTATGGAACTGGAGTTATGGACCATTGTTAGCTGCCATGTGGGTGCTAGGAGTCAAGCCCAGGTCCTCTGCAAGAGCATTCGGTGCTCTTAACCACTGAGCCATTTCTCCAGCCCGGATCTGGAATTCTTAACTAGTACACTGGGATGAGTTCTTTCAGTTCAGTTAGTTAGCAGATAGGGAATTTATTTGAAACCCCAAGTAAGAAATGAGAACATAAAGGGGACTATGTGTAGGTAAAGTATTTGCTAAGCTTCTGGGACTAAACCAAACAAGGGAAAAGACTTAAATGTTTGGCAGAAAAAACTGCTACTTGCAGTTAATTTTTAAGTTTTAAAAAATTTGGTGTGTGAGAGGGTGATACATATCTAAATCATTTTTGGAGAAGGAATAGAAATCAGTTTGCATTATTTGTGGCAATTTTAAAAGTCAAAGTAATAGCAGTGTGGAAACACATTCCCTTGGGTATCTGAGTTCAGAAGCTCCATCATCAGGAAGGATGGACTCCACAGGTTGGACGACTGGCTTATGAAGGGAACTAAGAACAGATTCCTTCTGGGTGATTGGAAAGGCTAGTAGGGCCCTGAGAGAAGGCCTAGGCTTTCATGGATTAAAGAACAGAACTCCTATGTTTATGTGTGCCAGAGATAAAAGGCACAGCACAGCCCCTGGTTTCACGTGTTTATCTAATGTGGTTGAGATGCAACTTAGCTGTCATTCCATGTGAATCTAGATGCCAAGCACATTTAAACTCTTTGCCAGTCCACAGAACCACACCCTCTACATTCCTGTCTCTACCAAATGCAACTGGGGATGGCTTGTAAGGGCAGCAAAGCCAAATTCGAGTGATCAGAACATAATAGCTTTAAAAGGTAACAGAGATAGAGTCCTACTCAAGGGCTCAAGCACAGTCCCAGTGTCACCAGAAACCCCAGGCTCAGAATTTTCTCTCTCCACCAGGACCGCAAGGCTTCCTCATAATTCTAAGTAGCTTTGGGGGTTGAAGGGAATGTATAGTTAAAGAAAGGAAACTGCAATTAAATTAACACATTTTAAACAGTTTACACTAAATTTCCATGTACACGGCTCATGTCAACTAGAATAAGCTCTAGATGCTTCAAGAGATTTGGGGAAAAGTAGAGATTTAACTAGGTACATTGTAACTCAAAAGGGAGAGAAGAAAGTAGGTGGTTCATGAACTCAAAAGACATGGATTCTAATCCAGATCAACAATCTACAAAACCCAGCATCTGTGTTCCCTAACACAGGGCCCTAAGCATAAGAAACCATCACTGAATATAACACTGTTCTATTTCCAGTGTGCATCGTAAGTACTGGCACCTTATCTTGAGTTTCTCTGCTCACAGCACATGACTCAAAATACTAAGAGTTTATATTGGTTGAATGACCAGTGTGACAGAAAATAAATTTGCTGAAATCTTGGGAATGCTTGGCTGCTAACGGATGTTTTAGAATTAGTAAACCCTAAGATACCCACATGCCCTCCATGGTTAAAGAAGTAGAAAATGGCCGGGCGTGGTGGCGCATGCCTTTAATCCCAGCACTTGGGAGGCAGAGGCAGGCGGATCTCTGTGAGTTCACGGCCAGCTTGGTCTACATAGTGAGTTCCAGGACAGCTGGGGGCTACAGGGAGACCCTGTCTCAAAAAGACCAAAAAAAAAAAAAAGGAAAAAAAAAAAAAAAAAGAAAAGAAGTAGAAAATGTTTTGCCATTTTGCAGTAAAAGTCATTGATTCAGCCAACATTGCATGTCTACTACACCAGACAAGCTTGGTAAGGCACAGTAAATGAGATACAGTTCCTGCCCTAGAATTCAGATCTAGGCTGAAAGAAGAGTTCTGGATACATGCTCCAACATTCGAACACATGATAGACACTACTGGCCTATTTGGAGCCCTTCATTTGCCCCTCTGCCATGTCGGCTGTGGGATCCTCCCCTCATCATGATTCCAGGGAAATAGTCACTTAAGCCCTACTTTTGAAAAGCTCATATTCAACAAATTACATTTTTTGTGTCATTCCCAGCCAGTTTTATTGTTGTATTGTTGTTGTTGTTTTTCCTGAGCAAAGCCTGGAGTTTATCAGACATCTCACTACCTGTCTCAAGTGCCCTAAAGCAAGACACCATCCTCTCTGTAGTCTCCTAGATGACTGCTTCATGGGTCTTATCTGTAACCATGAGTGGATAACTATTTTTGAAAGTCACATTGTGTCACTCTTACATTAGTCTATGTCAGGCACTGTATCAGACCTCTACATACATAGTCCCATTCTTAGTAATCTTTCCAAAGCAATTCTCTCCTATTTTATGAATGAAGAAACAGAGTCTAGAAAAAATAAGGAGTGCTTTGTGCTCTGGGGTGTATCCAAGAGAAATATCATTGACCTGTTCTTAGGCAACTTAAATCAAGGCTAGATATACTGCATATTAAGGACACTTGCAAAAAAAGCAGAATCATGTCACTACTTAATATTTTTTTTTGTTTTGGAAGAAATTGCAGTTTTGATAAAATCTTAATATGTAACGGTTTCATTTTTTTTCTTTTGCCTTTTTTGAGGTCTCTCTGTAGCCCCAACTTGCCTGGACTCAATATATAGACCAGGTTGGTCTCAATTTCACAGAGATCCACCTCCTGGTACTGAGATTAAGGGTGTGGACCACCATGCCCAGCAGTTTATTTCTAATGAATTTTTTTCTAATTAACTAAAAATCATTTTAATTTGTAAATATTAGCAAACATAATTCATATAAACTAAAACCAGCATATTCAGTAAATTTTAAGAATGTTAAAAAGAGTGCTGAGATCAAAACAGTTCATCTACAAGTTCCCTCCTTTTTTTATTATTTTTATTTTATGTATACGTGTGTATTGCCTACATGTAGGTAAGTGCACCCGTGTTGTGCAATACCTGAGGAGGTCAGAAGAGGCTGTCAGATCCCCTGGGACTGTAGTTACAGACATTTGTTAGCTGCCATGTGGGTGCTGGGATTCGAACCCGGGTCTTCTGCAAGAACAACCAGTGTTCTTAACTGCT